GAGAAGCCCTCAGTGCAGCCCATCTCATCAGGACACAGCCCCTCTAGCCCAGGGGAAGAGCTCAGCCATGAGATGGTTATGGCACAGGTCTGGCACTGCCGGGACAGCGTTTCATGGGGCAGTCCTTGGTAAAAGCCACGTGCACCGGGTGCTACACCATCGGCCGCCTTGCTCCAGGCTGTCCAGCAACCTGGAAACAATTTCAAAACTCTGTCCAAGCCATTCAGAGATTGGAAAATCGAGATGGGGAAGGAACAGCTCAGCTGTGCCTGGATGGAATCTGCAAGTCCAGCAAAAAGCTGCACCCACACTAGCACAGCCCCCAGGCAGGCTGGTGCAGGCAGTTCTGCAAACATCAGCCCTAAGAAACCATCCACAGGCACTGGAAAACCCCGAGATACATTGAGGAAAGAAACACCATAACTTAAGGGGCTCTTTTCATTAGTTTTTCTGGCTTTGTGTAGTACCTCCAGGACGTGTTTCTTCTGCTGCACTGCAAAACCAAGCAGAGACTGCACAACCAGATGCAGGAACAGGAACTCCAAGGATGGGATGGTTTTGTTTGGGGTTTTTTTTCAAAATCTAGGAAAACAGTTTGAAAGATACCCATCTCCACAGAGAATTCAAACCCCTGGGCTGACTGTGAGCAGTCATCAGGGGGTTCCCAAATGGAAAAGGATTCAATTCCCACCAAAATCACTGTGGCAGAGGAGAGGGCAAACATTAACCAAGAAGCACAACCCCCCTGCAGGGTGAACACAGGCTCTTTCAGCATTGGAAGCAAAACATTTCACAGACATGGTCAGCAGTGTCCGTTCAGCTCTGTGACTTTGCAACACTGGAAGCCCAGGGAGTGCTTTTTGGCAGGTAGCTTAAGGACACTGCCCCATCTGTAGCTGGACCCCTTCTGCTCCACCAGGCCAGGAGAACACAGTGTCCCATGTCTTATTGCCATTCCCAAAACCTTGTAGTCACCATCTTACAGGATTTACTCCCTTTGCTCTGTGTTTCACAATGACCATTGAAATGCATGGTTAAACTAATTACTTGAACAGCCAATCTCATCTCCTGTCTTTCCCTGTTCCTGCAGCCTCTGACAAAGAAGCTGATGTGTTTGGGGATGATTTTGCTTGGTCCTTATCCTGGAGAAGAGGCTGTTCCTTGTATTAAAGAAAAAAGGGAGAGAAAGAGAAAATGGAGGGAGGTGAGGGAAGAAAGCAAGAGAGGAAGAAAGAGAACTTGGGATACATGCTGGCATAAGAGTAGTAAGGGAACAGTTGTCCTTATTTTCCAATGATAATGATGATTTTTCTTTACTCTTCTGATCTCAAAACCTCAGGCCAAGCCCCTGCCGCAGCTCATGAGGGGAATGCTGCTCTGGGTGCACTCAGCACTCACTTTGTTTTGTGTTCTGTGTTTTGCTTTTAAATGCTCTTGGAGGGAATCTAAAGGTGGGGCTGGGGCCACACCTGCTTTCTGGCAGGCTGCAGCCCTTTTCTGCGATATGGCCAACAAACACAGCAGCCCACACCTTGCAGGAGACCCCTGGGAGGGCCCCCAGAGAGCCTCCTGGCCATGCCCCAGCCACTCACCCCAGCTGGCCAGAATAGCCTTTTCCTGCACCAATCCCCCCAAATCACCCATCTCCACGGTCTCCCCACGCACACACTTGGAATCTCAGCGCTGTGTTTATTCCCTCATGTCAAGCCGACAGATTTGGGCATGTCTTTGACAGGGGTTCACAATTTGGATGTTAAATTTAGACGCGCGCTCGGGCTCTGATTAGAGATACACCGACTGTTTACTCGCTTTGCAGAGAGTTTGCATCTACAGGGCTGAGGGCGAAGCCCCCCAAGGCTCTCTGATCCTCGCCTGGTGATTAGGAAAGGAGGCTGAATCACCACATAATGATGCCCTGGTATTTCCCTCAGTTGGGAGCGTGCCCTACCCTCCACACTCCATCCCACCGTGGGCTTCCTCCAACCCATGCAGCAAAAGTTGTAGAAACTCACCTCATTTCTGCTGGTTCATTGCTGTCATCTTCCAGGGTCAGTCCCAACAGGATTTTCCCTGGAGCTGAGCCAATTCACCAGATTTCCCCTCTCTTCAGAGCGCTGTCCCCTGTTCTACTTGTTAAGCTTCACCATGGCCCTTGGAAATGTCCCAGACTTTTGTGTTGTGACTGTGGCATAAATTATTCCAGAAGCAGAGGACAGATCAGGGACAGCACAGTCATCTCCTGGGAGATCTCTTAAGCTTCAAATTGCGCTAAAACCATGCTGGAGAGAGAGAAACAAGACCTTCAGAGCATGATTGCTTCTCACTGTAGCCTACTAAAGGAGGAACTCCAGGCTGCAGGTGATGGGTGATGATGTCCAGGCCCAGGGTGGGAAGTTGCTGTCAGGGGACACAGACTCACTGTGATACTGTGCAATTGAGCATGGTCCTGACACAAAGAGAAACTCTTAAGAAGTTGATGGTGATGCCTCCTAGACAATTCTCCCTACGTTTTGACTGTGTCTTTCAAAGTTTCAGATCATTTCCAGAGGAAATGAGGCTTCTGCCTCATGCTCCAGATGTGTAGTCACTCTCCATCCCTCATAATAACTGCTGAAGCCATTGATTGCTTTCAGTCCAGCTTGTAATTGAGAGTAAAGCTCTAAGAAATATTGAGATCACAACAGGTTTTGCAAATTAATTCTCTGGACAGAGGAGTAAAACTTTGTTAATACAGAGGGGAAAAGCAGCAATGTTAAGTGAAGCCCTTCTTGGATGTCAGGAAATACACAGGGAAGAGGGAGGTTAAGTACATTCCAGGAGAGATTCAGACGACAGCTTGCATCTTGTTAAATGCCAGAAAACCCACTCCTTGCTCAAGGTTATCCTCCCATATTGAATTGCTGGTGCCCAGGAAGGCATGTGCTCTGGATCCAGCTTTTCTTGTGGTTGTGGAGTTCATAACGTCTCTGCTTTGTGGGTTCTCTGATGTCTTATGAGAGATGAGTTCACATTGCCGTTTCAGTACAATTCAATTAAAAAGTCAATTAGCCCAGATACAAAGCGATTGGCTTCATTAAGTCTGCTGTTCGTGGAACATCTCTGGTTTGGTTGCAGGTTTGTTCTGCTGTCTGACTCCACTCTGGGTTGTGTGGATTGCCAGTGCGCGCAGACACGCGTGCGCAGCCTGCCGACGCCTTCTCCCCGAGTTCAGCAGTTGAAAGTGTTGGAAGGGAGTCGCTCTAGGCAAGTCCCTACACGCTGCACAGCTCTGAAGCGCTGTTCAGTAACAAGCAGCAAGGAGAGCTTTTAAGAACATGGTTTTTGACTTCTCACAAGGAGACACATGCCTTTCTGGGTCACCCATCCCGGCCCTTCAAGTTCTTCTTTAATTTGCGGTACATGTGGGGCTACGTTGTGTTTCCTAGAAGTGAAATGATGGCGTGAAAAAGTGGGTCTGAATTTTGTCAAAACTGAATTGTGTTGATTTCTCTCCAACTTCTACGGACGGTTTGTTTCAAAAAGAAAGATTTTTTCGGAGGGATTTTTGGATGATTGGCATTTATTTACTGAGGAGAAAAGGATTTGAAGCAAATACGAAATTTACATCTTTGTATTTATCAGTGATTAGATACCTCAGTGAGAGAATATGACACACACTGTCAGTTAGTTTACTTCTAACAATTTGTTCCTAACATTGAACTTGAGTTACAAATTGAACGAGTTCTGGTTCTTAAAGAGATGAGTCTTGAAAAAGTGTCTGGAAAAACAAGTCTTCCCTGTTTAAATTAGGAATGTGCCAAATGACTGGCAGGTACTTGATATATAATTTAAATTTAAAACAGGAAGAAACAGTTCTAGATAAAGATCTCCTAGGATATCTAGGGGAAATATATGCACCTATATTTAGCTTATCCCTGGTTTCAACCCCTAACTGCACACACAGCAGCATGCACTTAGCTTTTGAAAAGAACAGGCCTTGATCCTTTAACAAGCTCTGCAAAGCTCCCTAATAAAGTTACATCCCTGTTAATCACACATGTGCTCCCCAGTTCCTTCTTCGAAGCACCTTGTTCACAGAGATGAAGTGTGGAGCCGCAGCTGCTCGGGAGCTGTTAGAGAAGGAGGCTGGTGGAGGCTGGTCATGGATGGGGATCCTCCGCAGGAATCCTGACCCTGGGGCTTGCTGTGAGAAGGCAGGACCCAGAGAGATTACTCAAGGGCTGAGGGTGACATGGGCAAAGGGCCTTGCTGGAAGCCTGCTCCTTCAGCCAGCGCAGGGGAGGCAGCAAGGTCAGGCTTGTGAATTAGAACTTCTGAGGCTGAAATTGAAAATTGAGAAAGTTGAGACAGAGCTTGACTAGAAACTGAGCGAAAGCTGTTGGAAAGGCCACATCATGGAGCTGCACATTCAGAAGGAATTTATACAGTGTGGCGTGTGTTCCCCATCATTGCTGGGGAAGGACAACTCATCCTGTAGCACAGAGAGAGAAAAGGGAAGACAAACCGCAGAGGGGCATGTAAATCAGTTTGTATTTTGACTCTGGAGGATACACTGCAGAAACTTCAGGCGAGAGAGAAGTTAAGGTGGGGGGGGGAGGCTGGAGAAATAAAACAAGAGGGAGTTTGGATTGGGGGTGGAGAGTTTAGATATGCTGTGTGACTTAGGAGAAAGCAGGATGAAGGGAGGGCAAGATTGTTCACAGAATAGCAAGTCAGCCTGATCAGGGCATCTTGCATGACTTTGCACGTTTTCCCCTCTATGAAGGCAGAAACTGAAGCAGAGAAAGTGAAGAAATCTGAGCCAGCGTAGGGATGTGTGAGGACAGATCTCTCGCTGAGACAGAGGGAGGAAGAGCTGAGCTAACAATTGTGTCAATAAAGGTCGGGGTAGACACAGCAGGGCTGACCCCTTGGAGACTTTTTCTATAACACACTGACCTTAATGAAAATTACCAGTGTTCTTCCTTTGACACCTGCAGGGCTCAAGGAGACACCGCACCATGGAAGTCTCTGTCAGGAGTCATTTCCTGAATGTTGCTGTTTTCCTGATGCATTGTGTGGTCCACAAGGCGAGCTGTGAGAAGGGCAACACTTCCCCTCTGCACTTCACTCACTTCTTCTACAATGCCACCATCTATGAGAATTCAGCCCCCAAGACCTACGTGGAGAGCTACGTCAAAATGGGTATTTACAAGAGAGACCCTGAGTGGGACATCAGGTACAGGATAGCTTCTGGAGACAACACTGGTTTGTTTAAAACTGAGGAGCATGTGATTGGGGATTTCTGCTTCTTGAGAATAAGAACCAGGAGCAGCAACACAGCACTTTTAAACCGTGAGGTCAAAGACAGTTACATGTTAATAATCAAGGCCACAGAGAGCACCTTTGCCTACGAAGCCTGGGCCAAAGTCTTGATCCATATTCTGGACAGAAACGACTTGAAACCTCTCTTTTCACCCCCCTCCTACAAAGTGTCCATCAGAGAAGACACCCCTCTGAAAACAGTGGTCAGCACGCTTAGTGCCACTGACGCTGACGCTGGGCAGAACGCCGAGTTCTACTATGCCCTCAACACCAAGTCCAACCTATTCACTGTGCACCCCACCACGGGCGCAGTTCTGGTTACAGGCAGGCTGAACAGCACCCATCGAGGCAGGCATAACCTGCAGGTTTTGGCTGTGGACAGAATGAGAAAGATCACAGAGGGGAATGGCTTTGGGAACTTGGCTAGTCTCACAATCCAGGTGGAGCCATCTGCCAGGAAACCCCCCTCTATCTCCTCGGTGAAGGTGACATCACCTGACTCAGATGAAGACTTTGTCTATGCAACTCTCTCTGTAGAAAGTGGCGACTCAGAAGCAGGGATTGATATGGTTGAGCTTGTGGATGGAGATCCGGGAAGACATTTCAAAGCCATAAAATCCTACTTTGGGAGCCCTGAGTTCATGGTTGTATCAAACAAAGAGATAAACTGGTTACTTTACCCATTTGGCTTCAACCTCAGTGTGCAAGCCAAGGATAAGAGCAAGCCACCACTGTTCTCTCCTGTCAGAGTTGTCCACATTCCTCCCTCCAAGTATGTTTCTGCCAGGTTTGAGAAAGAAGTGTACCGGGTCCAGCTCAGTGAATTTTCCCCGGCTGGAAGCCAAGTTGTTATGGTGAAGATCAGACCAGTTTTCCCAAATCTTAAATACATTTTGAGACCTACTCCTGACAGCACAAGCTTTAAGATCAATCCTCACACTGGACTGGTAACTACAGTCAGAGCGATGGACTTCCATGAGCAGTCTAGTTTTGAGCTTGAAGTTACAACCAGTAACAGTCACACATCTGCCACTGTTATTGTTGACATCATTGACTGCAACAATCATGCTCCAGGTTTTACTCAGTCTTCCTATCACAGGGCCTTTGATGAAAATGTTCCTCCTGGTACCAGTGTCTTAACAGTAAGGGCTACAGATGAAGATAAAGGTGACAATGGCTTTGTCACCTACAGCATAGCTAACCAGAAATCAGTTCCCTTTGTCATCGACCCCTATTCTGGTGTCATTTCCACCTCCAAGTCCATGGACTATGAGCTGATGCAGAGATGGTACCACCTGCGCGTGTGGGCGTCAGATTGGGGCTCACCCTTCCGCCACGAGACAGAGGTTTACGTCTCCCTGACACTGAGCAACGTCAATGACAACGCTCCTGTGTTTGAGAAGGCAAGCTGCAGTGGCACCATCCCACGGGACTTTCCAGTTGGGAGCCCTGTGGCCACGGTCTCTGCAATCGACAGCGATGAGCTGCAGCATATCAAGTATGAAATCAAGTCTGGCAATGAGTTACAGCATTTTGAACTGAATCCCATCTCTGGAGTAATATCCCTTAGAATATCTCTGCGAGATCTTCCTTCTGAGCAGCCACTTTTCTACTCTTTGAAAATAACTGCAACAGATGGAGAGAACTACGCTTTGCCAACATCTGTGAACATCACTGTGGTCGGCCAAGGTCTCCCTGTCAAAATGCAGTGTGAGGAAACAGGAGTCTTGAAACAACTGACAGAAACCATCATACACTCCATTGAGTCTCAGTCTCAAGGCCATGGGCAGGATGATGAAACATCTCTGAACTTGCACCTTATAAACCATAATGCTCCTAAGTTTGATGACAGCTTTCCACGATCGATTGATATCATAGAGACTGTTCCCATCAACTCAACTATTGCTGACCTTTCAGCCATTGATCCTGACACAGGTTTTAATGGAAAATTGGTCTATGTGATCTCAGATGGAAACGATGACAGCTGCTTTACAATTGACCTGGAACTGGGTCTCCTTCAAGTCCTTTCTCCTTTAGATCATGAACAAACCAGCTTCTACATTCTTAACATTACTGTGTATGACCTTGGCACACCACAAAAATCATCTTGGAAACTATTGGCTGTGAATGTGTTGGATACCAATGATAATACTCCTAAATTCCCTCAAGGTGCCTATTGGGTGGCAATACCAGAACATGTAGCAGCAGGGACGACAATAGCTCAATTGAAAGCAGAGGATGCTGATACAGATGACAATGGGAGAGTTAAATACTCCCTCCTAACCCCCACAGACAAGTTTGCCATTAACAGTGTCACTGGAGAAGTGACGGTTACAGGCGCTCTAGATAGAGAATTGTGGCCTTGCTATGTGCTAAAAATAGAAGCTAGGGACCAGCCCAAAACAGGCTTCCAGCTGTTCTCTGTTACGGACCTGGTTGTGACTCTGGAGGATGTAAACGACAACACACCACAGTGCCTCCCAGCCCTCAACAGAGTGAAGGTCCCCGAAGACCTGCCCGTGGGGACCGTTCTCCTGTTCCTGGAGGCTTTTGACCCTGATGCTGGCTCAGGGGGGGAGGTGAGGTACAGCCTCATTAACAATGAGGAGATGTTTCATGTGGATAAGCTGACTGGGGCGCTCCGTTTGGAGAAGGAGCTGGACTATGAGAAGAGGGACTCTTACAATGTAACTGTGCAGGTCAGTGACGGCGGGAAGCCCTTCTCTCGCTCTTCCCTCTGCCACCTGGAGGTGAACGTCATTGACGTCAACGAGAACTTGAACCCACCACGCTTTGCCTCCTTTGTCTTCAAAGGCTGGGTGCAGGAGAACAGCCCTAAGGGCACATCGGTGATGATGGTCACAGCAAAGGACATCGACAGGGGCAAAGATGGAGAGGTTCAGTATTTCCTCCGAGAAGGAACTGGCCTGTCTGTCTTTCACATCGAAAAGGACACAGGTAAGGACATCTTCATTTAATAGTGTACCTTACAGGCCTAAACGTCCTGCTGTGCTTGGCCTGGCTGTTTGCAATCTTCCATGCATTCAAGTCTTTCTTGATTGTGCAGGGATTTACTAAGTCTATCCCTGGATCTGGGTAGGAGCAAGCAGTTGTTTTTCTCCTTAAAATAATGGCAAATCAGTGTCTGTCCTCCCCCAAAATACTGGAGTCTTCTCTTTCACGTGTGTACCAAAAATTAACCTCAGCAGAAGCAAGCCCTCACCTTCCACACAATCTCACAGCCACGCAAGGTGGGTGCGAGAGTTTGTGCAGCAAAGGGCAGGAGGCAGACTTGAGACTGCTCTGTCATCGAGGACTAGGTGGTCTGAGTTCCTTAAATCCCTCAGAAGCACTCTGTCCTTCTCCTAGGCACCATACGGACCATAGGATCACTCGACCGAGAGGGAACATCTCACTACTGGCTGACTGTGCTAGCCCTTGACCTGGGAACAATTCCTCTGTCTTCTGTGACTGAAATTTATATTGAAGTCACTGATACCAATGACAACCCACCTCAGATGTCCAGACCTGTCTTCTATGCCTCTGTGATGGAGAATTCCCCACCAAACACATCTGTCCTTCAGCTTGATGCCTTCGATCCAGACTCCAGCTCAGAGGGAAAACTAACTTTTCACATCCTAAGTGGAAATCCTCAAGGACTCTTCACCATTAACCTCACTACAGGTAAGACTGACCCAGCTCAGCATCTGTTTTTGAGGCTTCCAAGTGCCCAGAGGATGTTACATATTCGATATAAACAGCCCACACAGCTGCCTTTGGCACACCTTCCTCTTGCAGGAAAAGTCCCAGTCTCCAAATACACTCTGTGGGGAGTCTGAGGATTGAAACCCTCAACCTGAGGGCTGTGATTTGCATCCAGATGGCTCTTAGAATGACACAAAAGTGCTGCATTCAAAGCTCTAAACAGTTGTTTTTAATCTTCCCCCTTATAAACAACTGCCCTGTTGCACAGCCTGAGCCAGGGAACACCCTTATGGATGTGACTGTTCCTGACACCGACCCAGGCAGGATTAACAAAAGTTAATTCCACTGCACTTAAAGGCTCCACCCATTCTCCAGCACTATTAATGTAGTAAGTGTAGTAAGCCTCTTCTTCCATCTTCTTAGACTATATCTTTCATCTGAGGATTATTTACCAGATCTTTCAGAGCCATCAAAAACTCGCTGATGTTTTGTGTAAACAGCTTCCTCAAACTATCCTGGCAGAGCTGACATTGGGCCAGTCTGGCAAGGAAAGCTGTGCCGAGCCCTTCCTGCCATCAGCTCCTGGGAGAAGAGGGAAGGGAGGGCACAGAGCCTCAGTATGGGAGAGGATTAATTGCATGACTTTGATCTCCTGGAGATGATAAAAGCAGTTCAGCTCCTGCAGTGGGATGGAAGCTTGCTCTCAGGTGAGGAGCTGGATGTATTGAAAAAGGCTAGAGGTGCTCTCAGCTACATGTTGCCAGTGGTGTAATGGCTCTCTGGCAGTGCTCTACAGCTGGCTAGGAGGGGAATGGAAGAAAGAAATTATTATTATGAAATACTAAAATCTATTTTTCACAAGAACCTCACAGGGTGCATTTTACATGGCACTGTGTAAATGCACCTGGAGATGTCAGCTAACTGTGACCACTGCTGCCCACAGCTGTAGCTGTCTGTGCTGCCAGAAGCTTTTTAGCCTGGTCAGGACATTGCTCTGCATCCAGCTTTCCCACATAATCCAAACAGCTATGTACAACCCAGCCCCAGGCCAGCTTGCACAATGCAGGGTTCTGCAGAAATGTTCCTTCAGAAGCCCCGATGCATAAAACCACTGCCTTTTTGATGGGATGTGAAGCAGGATGGCTATCAGGACACCAAGCTGGCTCCCCTCTTCAGCTGAGCAGCCATGCACCCTGCAGGAAATTCAGCCTTTATGCTGCAGGCAAAGCTTTCAGCCCCACAGGAGTGCAGCCCTGCAAAGTCACACTCCAAGGCTGTCATGTTCCACAGCAAAATGAGTGACTCTGGCAAAATCTAAAAGTTTGCTAATGAGACACCTCACCTCTAAGCCAACCCATTAATCCCCATTTTAGACAAAAAAAGCTCTCTCAAGTATGAATCATCTCCTCTCCATCTCTCCCTGTACTCAGGTGATTTGCATGAGAAAAGTGATAAGTTTGTCAGTTCTGAAGAAACCCATGGGCTGATCTTATCTCTTGGACAGTTGCTGGAGGTCTCTTTAAACCCTGAGCTTGGAGGTTGTTTAAGGTCCTGCTTCCAATCCTGATGAACATTCAGTTATCCATTATTTCACTTGCATGTCACCCAGAAGAGCCTATAATTACCTGTGAACATAAACTGAGCAGTTATACCCTCATGTTTACAGTATCTAAAGAGAAGTCATTTGCTGCTGCTCCCGGAAGGAATATCACAGCTTGTCTAACGATCAGGGCCCTAGGCAGCTTTTTGGAAACCCAATGGTATTTTCATTCTGCAGGCTAGTTGCTCCATTAAGTAGAATAAAACAATAATCTTTGGTCTCAACTTGCTCCTGCAGCACCGGAAGATGAACTGCTGGTCATCCCCATTACTGCAGGATTGTATTTAAAAAAAGAAGGGTTTTCCCATGGCAGGGCAGAAGACTGATCAAGGCATTTCCTTTTCACCTGTCCCACATGGTCATTGTCATCAAAGAACAGACAAATAAAGTCACACAGGCACTGAAATAAGCCAGAGCACAAGAGGGCCAGAGCTCAGTCTGGGTCTCTCCCAAGTAGGACATTACTGGTAGTGGCCTCTTGGCAAAGGGAGAGGAGGAGGAGGAAGCTTGTTCTCATCCTGTGTCCTAATAAGAATTAAGGTCCTGATGTACTGCTACAACAGGTGTATCTACACCCAGAATAACCCTGCAGAATAGCCCTGGATAATCATTTAGGGCAGAGTGACATACTATTGCAAGTAACCTAACTGGGTTCCTGGTTGTGTGTTTGATTCAGTACCTTGACATGGGGGTGGACTGGCCAGTGGAAACATAACCAGCAAGGCTCCTTGACTTCCCCTGAGGCCTTGCAGGGCAACCAGGAGCAGCTATGCTAACTGTCCTGGGCTCCTCCAGCATTCCCAAACTACCACAGAAACACTCTAAGATCTTCAAGCTCTCAGTTCTCAAAAGAGGGTGGAGAAAAAGGGGGAAAATACATGAAAGGGTAATGAGAAGAGGGAACAAAACTGTGCACTGAGATGAAAGCTCTGTGCCATCGGCGATGGAATCTCTCCAGCCCAGCCTGGCAGCTGGTGTGGAGCAGTGTTTGTGGGAGACAGGGATAGATAGCTACACGGAGAGATGGGCAGATAGTAGGGTTTGGGGTATTCTTCTGCTGGAAGAGTTTTCAGCTTGTTTTGTTCAGGATTTGATGTGAAAGAGGTTCGAGTCCAGACAGGACCAGGAAGAACTGGGAGGCTGTGGCAGGAAGAGTCAGGATGAAGCCATTCACCCTGCTGAAAGGCTGTTTGGAGAATCCTTTCACTTTGGATTATTTGTCTGAAGCTCTTATCTGGTGCTTGTTCTTCTGGTGTTTCTTCTGCTGTGTCAGTGTCCCTTGGCTTCCCCAGGATGCCTGTGGTTCCCTGCATTTCTCTGCAAGGAAGGGCATCCTGCTCTTTAGGCCCGTGGGATGGTTGCATGGCTGCACCCCAAATCAACATAGCACACAGCTGAGCATGGAGTAGAGCACAGCAAGGTCAGAGTAAGAGGTGGGGTGGTAAGAGGAGAAGGAAAAAAAAGGTTAAATGGAAGCAGGAGTGAGACAAGAGAAAGAGGATTTCAGGAGAACAGCCTCTTCCCTTCTCGAGCTCTTGTGAAAGCCTCAGTGCCTGCAAACCTGATTCTGGCTATTTTACCTATCTTAGATTTTCCCCCCTGCAGCAAGGGCAGGGGGCCAGCAACCTCCACCCCAACCCTGTTCTTGCCAGCAGAAGTTATTATTATTTCTTGTTCCCTGACAACAATGCCCTGGTAATTTAAGTGCTCTTGTTCCAACATGAGCAGCCTTCCTCTCTGCCCTTTGCAGGCAGCAAGCAGGAGAGGGGCAGACAATCCTTTCTCCTTGCTGTGTGTGGACAGGCTGCTGGAGGAGTCTATGCCTGCCTGCATGCAGGCAGCAGAAAGCTTGCTTCTGGACCTTCATCTGCATGCAGAGCTTGGCTAATTGGCCAGGTGCAATTAGGACCTTTCACAGTTTTGTTCAGTCTCTGTAGGGTTCAGCAGAAACCTTCAGGGCCTCATGCAAGAACACAAATAAAGGACACCCACTCCCATGGGACAGGCTGGATGGGGTTTTCCAGCAGGGCAGGGTACTGATAACTCACAGACATGCACATGCACACACAAAACACTCATTAAAACTAAGCCTGCACTTCCCAGGCCTTGTAGGGGACAGCAGAAAGAACCAAGGAATTGTGTCCCCAGGCCACACAAAGCTGATGGCAGTTCCCCTTTAATAACAGCTTCCACTTCCATTTTAGCCCTCTGGCCTCACAGGGTGTATAACCAAGCAGCAACAAAAGAAAATGTGCGTTAATTCCAGTCAGCTTCTCCTGGGAATCCTGTGCAGTGTCCATCTCCCCACCTCCAGGAGCTCCGTGGCCGTGTGAACGCTGCTGTCAGTTTGTGCATCTCAGCTTCGCCCAGAGCCGCGGCTCCAAAGGGAATTAGCATGATTAACCCTAATTAATTAACCACAAGAGTTTTCAGATCCCAGGGCAGAGCGGTAGCTGAGGGGGGAACCAGGAGCCATGCCTGGGCACTGAGTAAGGGACAGAGTTTGCCTGGGGTGAGGAGGAGAAACCAACCCTTTGCCTTGAGGCTGAGCAGATGTGGAGATAAACCAAAAAAATTCCGTCTGGTGAGACTCCCATCTAGGATAGAGTACAGGTTATGTTACAGAGAGCAGAGTCAGCTCTTAGTCCCCAGGAGGCAGGAGCATCTTCAGTGGTACAGACATTCAAGAGTAGCATTAAATTCCAGTTCATCTGCCTTCACTACAGTCCTCCTTCTCCAGCACTAGAAAGCTGAGCTATGATCCTGCTTTCTTTCATTTTTTTCATTAAGTCATGAAAGAATTTCAGGGTGTGGCCTGGCAAATCCAGATAGTCACTTCAGATTGGTTAAACTCCCTTCCATCAGGCAGCATGTAGTAATCCAGTGCAAACAAGGTCTTAAGTCTGCTGGAACTGGATTTTGCAATCTGATAAACCAGAAATCTCCAGTGTGCACATGGGTGTCAGGCAGCTCTGTTGTCAATATCTCTTTGTCCTGTGGGCTTTTTAGGCTAAAATTATGAAGCATTCCCTGAGGTAGCTGGAGTTGTGGGCTCAGTAGCCAGCCTATTGGCAAGTGAGGACAGGAGCATCAGAGATCTCAGTGAGCTGCTGCTGCAATTCCTTCTCCAGGTCCCCATTAGGAGAGCATTTCCATGAGTGTTGCTGCTAATGGAGCCCTGCAGCCTCTCACTAATCTGGGAAAGCTTAAAAAACTTTAAAACTTTTTAGAAGTTTTAAAAGCTCCTCAGCCAGGCTCTCTCCTGAGTCTTCTTCACCTGCTGAGATGTTAAAAGGATGATTAGGGAGAGAAAAAAGCTACTCTGCAGACAAGCAAACAATTTTTCAAGCCATCTTGTCATAACACATTAAGGAGTGTTGATTTATGATGGTAAAGGCATCAAATAAATGTTTAGCACCATGGCTGGTGCCAAATGTGAATAATCCCAGAGAACAAGTGGAAACGGTGAACAGTAGTCATGTTCCAAGCAGCTGCTCCTTGCTCCCTCCTTCAGCTGCCTTCTGTTTCCTGCAGCCATTTGAAATTTTCTCCTGCTTGTCATGCTCAGACAGACATACACAAAAAGTATGGTACAACTGAAGACAATACTATTAATTAAAGCTTTCAGGCTTGGCACCAGAAATGAGAGTTGAGATGGGTTCATGCAGCTGGGATTTACGAGTCTTTCAGGGCACACAGAGCTCACTCCACTGCACATGCACATGGCATCCTGTGCAGAGCATTTCCCAGGGTAAAGGGAACCTGTGTCACTGCTTGCTGTGCTCAGGAAAATTCACCCTGCCCATCATTGGTGTGAAGAAGCAGAATTTCTCTTCACAGGGAAAAGAGAAGTGGACTAGAAGTAACTAGGAGTGGACAAAAGCACTCACATGTGTCAGCCTTGATGACTTTCAGGTCATCAAACATTGCATATGCAATTTCCATCATGGGTAAAGCAGTTATAAAATTATGTAGAGCTGTTTTTCCCCGAAAAGTGAAGAGTCAAGGTGCTCAGCAAGGACTGTTATGAAACCAGACATGGAAACAGAAGCCTCAGCTCCATCCTTTCCACACTTGCATCTACTCAGCTTAGTCATTGACAGGCCAAAAAGAGGCAATTATGATGACTTTGTTTCAACTCTAGTTTATTATAGCCACAATTCTTCCCTCCTGCATCCAGCTTATTCATACTGTGTATTTTTCAGAAATCCCTCAAATCTTGCAGTTGTTGGAGGACTCATCCTGTGTCTCATCAAGGCTTAAATAATGTACCAACATTATTTTTGACTGTGTACCTTATTTTTAGCCGGAATGCATTTGTTCTAGCAGTCGAGTAGAGGGTATTTCCCACTTTTGTCAAAACACTGTAAATTACAAAGAGCAAGGTTGAGCACAGGGAAGACAGGAGTAGAGACTTGTTAAGAGGCCAGACTTGTGCCAGCACATGCAGAATGTTTCTTACTTAGAGGCATAAGAAAAGTTTTGTTTTCATGGTCCTGCAGCTTTTCTCACCTAATGCCTTGCCAACCCTCAACTGATGCAGGCATCTGGTAGGTGTTCCCCCTCCTCCGTGGTCTCTGTGATCAGAGAGCAGCAGCAACACCTCCACAGAGGGATTCACGCTGGGAGGGGATGGATTCCCCTCTGGGGGTATCTGCCTTTCTGCTCTGATCACAAAGGGAACCTGAAACAGGACAGGTGGGCAGGCTGATCTTGGGCATTCACGGATCTGATCAGCCCTGGTTTTTCTTGCATGCTGAGTCTTGGAGCTCAAAGGGTTTCTTTCTTGGCAGGTCTGATTTCCACGACTTCACGGCAGCTGGATCGAGAATACAAGGCTGAACATATCCTTGAGGTGGGTAATGATGATTGTAATTAGCTTTATTTACCTACAAGTGTATTAAGTCCTCAAAGAGCTTTCCTTGCAAGTTGGAGCACAGAGAAAGAATCTCATCCCATCAGCTCCCAACTGCTGAGAAACTTAATTAAATGGTGTGTGTTAACCCAAGAGACAGCTGCAGCAGTACTGTGGGGTTTATTATTTTCTTGCTGAAGACTGGAGCAAAATTTCTGTTCTGGAAGCTGTGGGAATGCAGGAAGAGGTCTGGAACTATCCTCTAGCAGGATGGTTTATACATTATGAGGGAAAGAGCAAGCCAGAGAAATCCACCCTCGTTTATCTCATTGTATCAGATATTGCTGTGTAGCTTCTGTCACCAGCCCCCATCCTCAGCTGCTCACAGCTACAAGTATTGCCATCAGAGGGATCTGGAGGTTTTTGAGTCTATCAGGGTCTATCATTTCTCTCTGCAATGCAACGTGCTGGGAGCTTGCACAGGCAGGGCAGGGTGAGGATGGCTGGTACCTCACCAAGCCATTGCAGTACAGGTGTTTTCAGATGTGTGATCTCTAATGTTCAGCCAGCCAGAACAGCAGAGCAGCTGGAGGCAGGAGCCCTGCAAACTCATCCCCCTGTGCATGGACAGGCCCTGCACACTGCCAGCTACAGCCACCAGGCTTTGCCCTGCAGAGGGGAGCAGTGCCTTTAAAAAAGGGGAGATAGAAATGCAGAGCCACACAAAATCCCCCAGCTGAGTGATTGCCCACCAGGATGGAGGCTGGCTGGTCACACTCGGGTCATGTCTGAGAGCCCTGTGTCACCTGCTCCCTTTGCTTGCTGACAGGTGGCTGTGTCTGACAACGGAGAGCCAGCGCTGAAGTCCACCAGCAGAGTCGTGATCCAAGTCCTGGATGCCAATGACAGCCCTCCCAGTTTCCCCCACAAGCTGTTCATGGTGCAGCTCCCCGAGAGGGAGGCCTCGGAGACCCCACTGCCGGTCTACAGGCTGATCGCTTCCGACCGTGACCAGGGCCAGAACAGCCAGATCACCTACACCATCGAGGAGGAGGAGGACGGCATATTCACCATCAACCCCACAACTGGCACAGTCTTCTCCAGGAAAGCTTTCCCTGCCTCTGAATACAACATACTCACGGTGAGAGGAGAGGGAAACACAAAGAGCTGATGGGAAGAGACGGGCAGAAAGGGAAAGAGAGAGAAGGGTTAAGAAACAGAAAAGATACAAGGAAAGAGATGGAGAAAATGCAGCAGTGGGGAGGAAGAGAGCTTGAATAAGGCAAATGTGTTAAGAGGGAGAGAAAGTGGGAAGGAATTATAGGAAATGCAGAAGGTAGGAAGCTATTGAAAATGGACAATAAGTTTAAAATTAACTGTCCAACCTACCTTCAGAGAGGAATACAGTGATCCATGATCCCATATGGATGTGGACTCAAACCTGAACAGTCTTTGGGTTCCATCATGCCTCTGTATGGCATTCTGATCTGGCCATGGAGCTTAGATGTAGATTCAAATCCTTCCCACAGTCTGTGTGTCTTTGCAGTGAGGCTTGTAATCCGAGTCTCTGCTATGGATGGAGCTTGGCAGATTTACTTGACTGCAAAGAGGAATTTAGGTTGCATGGCTCTGCCTTGGAAGCAGCCAGAGCGTGGACCACTGGCTCAAGATTTGTTTAATGGGATCTTTGGGCACACTGGGAGCTGAAACTTCTGGTGGGTGGGAGAAGGAGCTTTCCATGGAATTCCCATGAGCTAACTGAGCTTTCTCCCTGAGTGCATGTGCCTTTCTCTGCAGGTCAAGGCCACAGACGGCGGCAGCCCCCCGCTCTCCTCCCACGTGAGACTTCACATCAGCTGGGTCGCCCGGCCCGGCCCTTCCTCAGAACCACTGGCTTTTGATGAACCCCACTTCAACTTCGCCGTGATGGAAACAGATCCTGTGAACCACATGGTGGGAGTGATCAGCATGGAGATGGGCCCCAGCCAAGTGTGGTTTAATATCACAGGTGAGGCACAGAAATTAGAGCAGGGCAGCGGTGTCTGGGAGCGTTTGGCTCCCTTGGCTTTCAGCACTCTCGCATGCCTGAGCTAATGGAGTTGTTTGCTTTAGGTGTAGGTGAGCTATGGGGAAAGCTTTCTCACAGGCACCGGAAGGTTTAAACAGCCATTAGACAAAGCTGCCCATCCAAGGCTGCCAGTGCCAAGTGCAATTACCCAACACAGTTTTTTAATGACAATCTGGAACTTGCCTGTGTTTGAGGTGTTCTCTGATGTCACACGAGAGGCAGGGCATGCCAGTGCCAGATCCTCCTGGGAATCAGGTGACACTGTTGGTTTTGTTAAAACTGCCTGCAAGGATCCAGGTGTGTGGCTGAGGGTTACAGATACCCTTCATATCTCCCCCCACGTTGAGTCTTGAGCAGGGAGTTGAGAAGGAAGCATTCCTCAAAGACCTAGTCTGCCCTAACTTGTGGGGCTCTCCCTTCCTCCTCACCACATCCCAGGGGTGATTTAGACATGGAATGTGGAACTCTAGGGCCTCCTCTAAGACACACGATTCAGAGGGGGTGTGGGCTGTCACCCCAGGGGATTCTCCAGGCAGTGTGTGCAGAACTGGTCCTACCAACGAGGGCCAATTGTGCTCGTGTAATTTGATGTTTTGAAGTGGTGCCCCAATCTACCTTGCACAGCCTTTCCCTGGTACTGCCTGCAGGGCCTGCCCTTGTCAGACAAAGCCTTAATTGGGCAAGTCAGTAGTTTTTCTCCTTACTGTGTTAGGGCATGGATAATGGTGTATAAATACAATTAAGCAACAAGAGATACAACACTACAAGGAGCAAGACAATATCTGTGAAAGGTTTATCTGGCATTAGTAGTGTCTGCTTGGGTCTGCAGAACGAACGGTGTATTCCTCTGAATGTTATCCCATCATTTCCCTGCTGAGTGCTGGAGCATAGCTTGACTTCATCTTTCCCAGTTCCTAGAGCTCCAAGAGATGCTGAAGGCTCTCTTGGTTTCTATCCTG